TGTAGAAGATGGTCTCAAGAATGAGGTAACTCAGCACGTCCGACACTTCCACAGGAGGCAAGCATTTTGGACTAAACTTCTCGGCTGGTATGCTTGCAGGGTCAACCCCGATGACCGAGATCTTTTGCAAACATCTTTCCTTCCAACTCTCTAAGCTTTCGGCATACTCAGAGAGCACTGGGATACCTTAAGATGAATGCCAGATACTTTTATCCCTTTTTTCTTTCTGGATATTCATGTAGTTGGCGAAATATTACGGCGATAAGAGAGAGGGCTTCACCATAGAAATCGACTAATTATTCATAAATTTGACGTCCGAGGAACACCAACATGGCGGACACTAACTTCAACAAAGCTTGTGACGTCACCTGAAACCCAAGAATTAGCAACCGTATTGGAACTTTGCACAAAAGACCGTTTTCCGGCGCGAGAGCAATTTTTTTACAATTTGTACACCCCCTCAATTTTTTAAAATTCTTTTCTTCTTTTCCAAAATAAGAATTAAAACCTTATCCTTTTAACGGCTTCCTTATTTTTTAAACTTTCGTAATGGCTGTTCATTTCCCGCAAAATTTATTGAGTTTAAATAAGCGCGCGTCTGAGCCCACGTTTCATACCGCGGGTGTCTGGCGCACGCGCAGACGTTTTTCATCCCTGTGTTCAATCGCAATTTTTTTTCTTACTACGCATGCGCTGGATTTAACTGAGTCTTTCGGTAACGACGAAAAAGCTGAGAACTGCTGGGTTCTTTGCACCGTTAACTTTTCTTACATATCTTTGTAATAAGGGAAGGTACGCTTTTTCTTGGGGGGGCGGGAGTGGGCCGGGGTTTCGGAGGGGAGGGTCATTAGTAAATATTTTACAAATTCAGGAGGGTCAAACCTGTTTGATACGCAGCCGGGGGAGGGTCATAGTTTTATTTTTGGCAAGGAAAAACTACTCTATGTCGGTTAGTTGACTTTCAATTATTTGTTACCAAACACGCGAAGTGTACAGAAACCTAAAAATTACATAAACAAGCAAAGCTACCAGTCTAAATCAATCTACATCATTTTAAACAGATGTCGAAATATTATGTCAAAAAACTATCTAGTCCCAACTAACGTAATTCTCTCTCTCGAGGCGTCCCCGCTTTCGTCCATATTTTGACGTCGGTAATGTTTCCACACAGGGCTCTGGTATAAAATTAGTGTCCGGTAACGATTCGCTGCTTGAGCTACTCGGGCTTGAACCGACAACTCGATCTACCACATCACTTTGCGAGTCAGTTTCCACCTCGGAAAGTGACGAGGTCACTTGTTGCTGTACATTTCTGAGTGGGGGCTTCTGAGGTTGTTGACGCTCCATTAAATTGTACAGCAAGCTACCAATGCGCGCTTTTATCATTGCGACTTTTTCAGCTTTCTTCCANGTTAGTTTCTGTACAAACATGGCATACAAAAAAATATGTAAACAATGATTACAAAAGCAATGCATATATATACAGTTAATATTAATAATACTGAGACTAACTCATCTATCAGGGCATTTGCTTTACAAAACACATCTAAAAGTGTGAACGAAAACAAATGACAGAACGTGCATTTCTCTAAATAGCACTGAGTAACTTGTCTGCATAAAAGAATGTAGCGAAATTTGAAAAAGGAAAGCTTTACGGGCCAATTATTATTACAACAGCAGCTTAACATTCTTTGTGTCGGAAGTTAACCTCAGGCAACTCGTAAACACAACTAACGCCAACACATCTTACCTTAACTTAATATCACGGAGCGTGAAGACTGCAGAATGAAAAATGTGAACTAACTATGATGTTGAGGACTGTCAAGAATGTAGTGCGAACGGTAGCTACATTGAATGCCGTACGATCTTGATAAGAAGCCAGCGAAACTGCGTCACGAGCAAAGTATGACTACTCTACGAATTTAGCTAAGGAGACTTGGCTACGAATGTAGTTCGACCAAGCTACGAATATAATACGATTAAGCCACAAATATCGCACCACTAAGCCACGAATATAGTCACGTCTAAGCTACGATCGAATGTAGTACGACAAAGCTACGAATATAATACAACTAAACTACGAATATAACACGTCTAAGCCACAAATATAGCACGACTACAAAAGGCACGAATATACTCATGTCCAAGGCTACGAATGTTGCACGACAAAGCTAAGTATATAATACGGCTAAGTTACGAATAAAGTACGAATAAGCCACGAACAAAAGACGATCAAGCTTCTAAATGATGCAGTCTCACCAAGCCATCTATACAGCTTCTTGAAAAATTTCTAATACCCGACCAAGGTGCTCCGAACTATTACCCGCTCAGCGACTACAGCAGGTGCCCCAAAATAGCTTGAAAAAGAAAATGCTGTTTGTGTTCATAGTCACCTCATAAAAAGGGAGAGGAAAAGATCAGACTTTGCTAACTACGTGTTCTTGTATCAAACACTTCTTTAAATTTAATCATCTCTGATCTTGACCACGACAGCCTTCTGCAGAACACCACAGTTATCATTTTTCATAGCGATCTTGATATATCCCTCATCTCCCCAAGCTTTTGACCAGGAATCCTTAATCAGCCAATAGGGTTCACCCTTTTCAACTCCATATCCGACAGCTAAGGCCGCGTGATCCAATGCATGAGCTGAAAACGAGGATAAGAAACTCATCAAATTGGCCACCTTCACTGGTTAGAATGAATCGTACCTCGTGAATGAAATCCTTTAACTATTTACACCCTAACAAACTAAGGTGCTGACAAGGAGTTTTTTTTTAACAATCGAGAGCTTTTTCAGGTGGTTGTCATTTTCTTTTTATTCTTGTGACTTTTATATATAGATTTAGCCAAGCTTAAAAGCGGAGCTCGCATATTTTTCCCGGCACGTCTCAAGGGCGCAACGCCTTGTCCCGGCCAGGACTGGAACCCCGGTCGTCCGACTCGGAGCCCAGTGACAGGCCCACGGTACAGTTGACCGCGCATGCTAAAAGTAGCACCTTGTACGGACTCCCGTATGGTCATAAGTCCAAATTTTTTTGGCTTGATGGGTTACAACTACCATTTTGTATAATTATGGGGCTACGCTCTGCGACCTCCGCTAATATTTGAATCAAGGGTTACATTGTAAGAAGAAATTAGATACTAGTCACGCCTAAGGGTCAAAGAGTTAAAAAACCTCCACGCAGCCTTTAAATTACAATACGTGTTAATTACTTACTGCAGTCAGAGTCATAATAAATTCCAGATCCGTAGAATTTAAAAGTCTTTGGCTGGGTGTTGATGAGAATACTGACTGGACCGTATATAGCAATGGCCTGCTTCAACTCCTGCTTGTTCCCTTTGGTAATGTTCATGTAGAAATCCAGCTTAGCACCTGTTGTGGTATTTTTAAAGTGGCAGAAGCCCTCCTAAGACATACGATAGAAAACAAAATGAGTGTTTGAAACAGGAGAAGGGAGATTAGTGATCGGTAGAATCTATCCGCTCTGCTTTCACTCCTGACCATTTAAAACGAATTTGATTCATTGGATGATTGCAGTTGCGCATCCAGACCGTGACGAT